GACCAGGCTGGCCTTGAAATCACAGAGATCCACCTGCCTCTGCCTCCCGAGTGCTGGTACTAAAGGCATGTGCCACCATGCCCAGCCACATAAAAAATTTTTTTTAATTTTTTTAAAGATAACCAGGAGCAAATTTACCAGGAGCAAATTTACTAGGCTAAGTATGATTACCCAAACATTCAGGGACCTGGCTGTAAAGGATCTGGGTGAGAGAAAGCCCATGAAAAGGAAGACAGTCCCCATGTTCCCCACCAATTGTGAATGTATCAAGTCACTGAAGCAAATCAAAATGATTTTCCTATATACCTCCTTTTTTCCCGTTAAATTGAAAAAATGCTCCTCCTACCCACATTAAAATCTACAGCAGCCCTAAAGAATAGTGTTTACACAAGTCCCTTTAGCTTTTAATTGCTGAGGAGTAGGAATTGTTTTGTGTGTGCTGAAGTTTCTTAGCCCAGTTGGTTGAGTCGGTGCTAACTGAGTATCAGGATCACTGGATTCCAAATGTCTTGAGAATGGCCTGGAAGCCTGAAGGACAAAAGTCATCCAATAATAAATTTCAATTTGTACAATCTGGAAAAAGAAATGAGGGCATGAGGAAAACCCAGTGGTGCCTCAAAAAAAGTAGGATAGAAAGCAATCAAGGTCAGAATCTCCAGAAACATGGTGGAATGCTGGGCATTCCCTTTTCATTCAGCGGTAGCCACCTGTGGCTTTCCTTCGACATCCCCCACGGTCTGCCACAGGCCTTGATCACGGGTTATGAATTTCAGACTTGAAGGATTTGTACTTTGCTCCAAGGAAAAACGTTCTGTTAGACCAACCAATAAATAAAACCAACTACAGGAACGCGGTTTCTTTCATCAGCCTCAAGGGAAGCACCCAGCTCCGCTGTGCCTCCAACCGGGGCCTCAAGAGCACTCACCGAGGGCCTGACCCGGTTCCCACCCCGCAGGCACCCGGAGCCGCGGTCCTAGCCTGGGACTCTCCGTTACTGGGCAGAACCTCGGGGGCCTCTCCTTAAACTGGTTACAGTGGGCAAAGTCTCAACTGCATCCCCACACGGCTGTCACAGCTGTGCGCCAGACTGCCCCTACGCCTTCCCTGCTCCTTCCTCCTCAGTTGCCCCATTCTCGTCCCCCTCCTCCCCCAACAACAGCCCCCGGCCTCTCTGCCGGCTCCCGCTGCCTCCACTGCTGCTGCTCCTCCCCCACAACTGCTCCTTCCTACCCGCTCTTTTCCCTGGCTTTCTTTCCCTCCTTCCTCTGCTCCGACACACACCTCACCACGCCGACCCTCTCCTCCCTAGGCCGACGCTTGGGGCCACACTAAGAAACTGCCCCTTGTGGCCCTCAGGGGCCCCGGGAGCCTGCAGGCACGCGTCGCCAAGGCAACCCAGGGCAGAGCGAGTCCGCTGCAGGTCCGAAAAACCCGCGGCCACTGCGCAGGCGCAGATCTTTGCCCCCGCAGCCCCACCCCACGTGGGTCTTCTCCCTCGTGGGCCACAGACACGAGGAGTTGAGACTTAGATTGTGCACAGTTACTAAACCTGGCGGGCCGGAGCTCCGGGGGCCCAGACAGGAAGACTAAGCTGCGAGGACCCCGCAAACCCGGGCTCCCAGGTGTGTGGGCGCCGGCCCGCACGGGTCCAGCAGATGGCGCCTGGTATCCCGCCAGCGAGGCTCGCTCGCCTTCTTGAAAGCGCTCCAGGATTTCCAGGCAGCCTCGGCTGCAGCTGGGTTCAGGGAAAAAACTGGGGCTGGAGGCACCCCTGCCCTCACGCTCGCTCCCCCTTCTTGGCGCGGACTGGGGTCTAGAATTGCTGGGTGGCACGGGCCTAAGACCTTGCGGGAAGACCGGAACTGGAATCTTTTGGAATCTGAGGATCGGCTTTGAACCCCGTCGCTGGTTTGGGGGGCAAGCGGGAGGCGGGGACTCCCCGGGGAAGGTGACCGGGCCTGGGAGGAGCTTTGCTCTCCATAGGAACAAAGGCTGTGTCCCCGAGAAGCCGGAGAGGCGTGTGCAGGGGCAGACCTCGGCGACCGCTAGGGGGCGCGCCCGTCCGCGTGGCTGCACCACACGTAAAAGAGCTGTACCCGGGGCGGGGAGACGTGGGAAATACCGTGAGGAAGCAGACTTGGAGTTGGGAGGTGCCCGCCCTGCTTCCATCAATACTGCCTAATTAAGACAAAGCCAGCAGTGAGCCCACTGATTACATTTCCATGAGGAGCTAAATGGATGACGTTTCTTCGCTGGAGGTGGAGAGAAGCTGGCATCTCAGTTCCCCTTTTTCTGGTTGATGTTCACACCTGACAGCTCATTATGCTAGTCTGGCACTACCAGGAGTGGCATTCCTGGTACATCTGAAGACCAGTGCATTCACACCCTGATCCAACCCTGACCACATCATCTCACCTACCCCATCTTTATTTCCAAAACTGATAGCCCCTTGCCCTTACACACACACCACTACCATACCACCATCACCATTAGTTTTTACTTTTCTTAAGAAAAAAGTCTTATCTTGTAGCCCAAGTTGGCCTTGAATTCGCTGTATAGTCCAAGCTGGCCTCAGATTCTCAAACGTTCAGTCCCCCTTCCTCTTGCCTCCTGAGTACTGGGATTGAAGGGATGTGCCACCACATCTGGCTACACTATTATCTTGAAGATGGGTTTCTGGACTCTGTAGTCCTCTGTCAATACCAAATTCCTGGTGCTGAGAGCAGGGATTGAAGGAAAGAGGTCCTACCACACCCCAAAACCAGCTGCACAGCACAGGGCTGATGTGAAGCATGTAGGTAATCTTCCAATCAGATTGCAGAGAGAAGTGATGTGGTTGGTCAGAATCCCCAGGGAAAAGTCCCAAAGGACTGAAAATTTGAGGGGAGGCATTGGGTGGGGAGCCTCAAGGGCAGGTTCATGAATCCTCAGGGAAAGGAACTTCACATAGACCCCATTTCTCTTCTGATTCCCCCCTCAACTGTGGCTGTGCCTAGGGATCCCAGCCCCCCACATTATGCTAAATAGGTAATCAAACATCTTGCTTTGCTAATTACTGCTCAATCCGATTAAACGCTGCTGAAGCTCATCAACAGAGGTGGAGGTAGGGGGAAGGAATGAAGGGGGGCAGCCACAGCTGTGATGGGGGGCTTGTCCCCAGGGGCTCTAGGGGACAGCTGAGAAACAGCCAGGGTGGCAAGCCTGAGCATATCCCAAAGGAAAGGGACAGAACAGTTGTACCCTGTGTGTATCCTCCTAGCTATAGGCCTCTCCCTCTTTCCAGAATCTTCATCACCCTCAGAACCCAGGCATCCGGCCATTCCCACAGCTACCCACACAGACCCCTGTCCCAGATTTTTAATAAGTTCTGTTCTCTCACTGTCAATATTTGATTTCTGAGAGCCATCTCCACGGAGAAAAGAGGGGCTCTTTCCTTCTTCCCCCCTACCTTGGTTCTTTTTGGCCCACCACTAGTCTCTTTGTGCTCCCAATCTTCTCTGAACTTACTGACTTAATGAAATGATATTAAAGTCTTAAGCAACTCCAAGAAGAATGGTTGTTATGGTGAAGGGAGTGGGCAGGACGCCTGGGTCCCTGAGGGGAGCAAGAGCTGAGGGGGAGAGGGAACCAGAGACTAAGATCTAGATGTCCCAGTTCCCAATGGGTAATAGCAAATTTTGGGTGAAGTAGGGTGCCAGACCTCTAGATATTGGTGGGAAACAGGGCATGAGGCCTGGGTGCTGGGAGAACATGGGAAGAAAGAGGATGTTCAGGGCCATCGGTCTCCTTCAGCTGTCCAGAGCATCCATCAGGAGAGGCCAACCCTGGAGACAGGACCTCTGTGCCAGCAGCCTCCCTGCTGACCGTGCCCTGGACTGGTCCCGTGAGAACCAGAGTGGATTCTTCTACAGCCCTGACTCATCCCTCTTCCCCCTTTTTCCCCCAGCAGCCCCCCACAGGTGATTTGTAGCTGATGCCCCCACAGTGGCAGGGGCCAGGAAAGACATGACATGAAGAACTGAGAGCTTCCAGAGAGAAGACAACAGAGGCCAAGGGATGGGAAGCCAAGCTCCACCTCCAGTTCCCCACACCCAGCCCCTTCTCACTCCCCTGGGGACCCTGGCCCAGCCCCAGTTCCCTTGGGGTGGTGGGAATGCAGGGACATTTGGCTGGGGCTGATTGATGAGGGAGGAGGCAGCCCTTGGGCACTAAGGCTGCTGTTTGCTGAGCACACAGATTCCTCCCCACTCACCAGCTGCTGCCCCCTGAGGCCACTTGTGGGGGCCCCCATCCCACCAGTGGGATTGGGGGAGCTGGTGCCTGAGTTCCTGATGGTGATGGGGAAGAGAAAGAACTAGAAAGCCAACTATTTCAGTTCCCTAATCAAGTCACAGGTACCTGGAGCTCCCTCCAGGACTCCACCTGCCCTGCCACCTTGCAAACACTTGATATTCAGAAGCCATTTCCATTCATTCTCTGTCCTTTTGCTGGCCCCTGTCTACCACTCCAAGCCCAGCACCCTACCTCCAAAGCACCCTCTTCCTCTTCCTCTTCCTGCAGACCTTGACTCTTTTCCAGGGAAGGGAGAGCACTATGTCTGGTCTGTGGGTGCTCACTTTCTAAAGGAACCCTATGTTTTGCTCATTCTAACTGAAGTCTCAGATGCGCTATCAAACATTTTCCATTATATATTCCTATTACAAGTCAGTAAGATGACTCAGTGGGTAACAACACCTACCACCAAATCTGATGACCTGAGTTCAGTATCAGGGATTCACATGGTGGAAGGAGAGAACCAACTCCCACAACTTGATCTCTCACCTCTACACATTCACCATGGCATGCATGCAAGTGCATGCCTGTGTGTGCACACACACTTCCTTTGTGTGTGTGTGTGTGTGTGTTTGTGTGTGTGTGTGTGTGTGTGTATACATTAGGGGCTAGAAGTTGACATCAAGAGTCTTCCACTATCAAAGATTTTTGTTGTTGTTGTTATTGTTGTGGGGTTTTTTTAAATGTGTGTATTTTGCTTGCATGTATGTGTACCACATGCATGCAGTGCCCATGGAGGCCAGAAAGGTTGTCAGATCCCCTGGGACTAGAGTTACAGATGGTTGTTAGCTGCCATGTGGGTGCTGGGAACTGAACCAGATTTCTTCAGGAGCATCCAGTGCTCTTAACTACCGAGCCATCTCTCCAGTCCCCTGGTTTGACCCTGTTTGAGACAGGGTCTCACTATGTAGCCCCAGCTGACCTAGAATTCACTATTAGACCATCCCAGGCTAGCCTTACTCTCACAAAATCGACCTGCCTCTGCCTCCCAAGTGCTGGGATTAAACGTGCATGGCATCATACCCAGCTATTTTTAAAATTATTTTTATTTTAGGTGTATGAGTGTATGTCTGCACGTGTGTAAGTGCACTGGTGTCATGCAGTGCCCCTGGAGGTCAGAAGAAGGCATCAGATCCCCTGGAACTAGAGTTAGCCACCATGTGGGTCCTGGGAATTGAACCCAGGTCCTCTGCAAGAGCAGTCAGTGCTCTTAACTGCTGGTCCATCTCTCCAGCCCAACTATTTTATGTATATGCATGTGTGGATGTGGGTGTGGGTATGTGTACACACATATGTAACACATGAACATAGGTGAGCAAGACCAAAAGAGGGCACTGAATCCCCTGGAGAAATGGTTGTTAGCTGCCTGATGTGGGTTCTGGGAACTGAGCTTGAGTCCTCTGGAAGAGTAGTAACTGCTTTTAACTGCTGAGCCATCTTTCCAGCCCCAACAAACACAATTTCTTAAAAAAGAAATTCCTGTTGTAACTCTTCACCCCATTCCCACTTTCTTAATACCATTCTGCCCAACACAAACCACACCCCCACTGGGTGGAATTTGGATTCCCTCAAGCTGTTTCTGTTTGGAAAGATGATAAAGTTCATGTTTCCATCTGCAACTCAGCCCCCAGGACAGCCCTGATGTTATGCTATTGAGAGGGTAGCTTTAGCTTACAGGTCCCTAACTCACTTGGTCCCTTTAGTTCTGTCCTGCCAGCCTGCTCTGAACATAGTTTTTTGTTTTGTTTAGGTGAGACAGGGTTCTATTTTGTAGCTCAGGCAGGCCTCAAATTCGCAAGTCTCCCACTGCCCCTTCCCAAGTACTGGGATTTTAGGTATGTGCCACCACACCGAGCTTCCTGCTTTGAATTTTGTGTCATAGACTTGCAAAAGCTCAAAGCATCATCCTTCCCCTCTCAGTGTTTAAGATGTATTTGAGGAAAACAGCCCATGGACCCACAAGAAACAAGGGGATGGAGGATGGAAGACCCAGCTAGATCAGCTTTTTTGTTGTTGTTGTTGTTAGGGTATCACTATGTAGCCCTGGCTGCCTGAAACTCACAGAGATCAGCCTGCTTCTGCCTCCTGAGAACTGGGATTAAAGGTGTATGCCACCATGTCCAGCTAAACCAGCTTCTTAAATGTAGACTCTAAATGACTTTCTACCTCTCAGGCTTATCCTAGGCATAGATAAGACACACCTGGAACTTAAGGATGACGTTCCTCTTGCTAGTCTCAGACACTCAAGATTTTTCTCTCTAGGGGCTGAAGAGGACTTGGCAGTTAAGATCACTTGTTGCTTTTGCAGAGGACCTGGATTCAGTTCCCAGCATCTACATGGCAGCTAACAACCATCTGTAACTCCAGATCCAAGGGATCCAAAGCCCTCTTCTAGCCTCTGTGGGCACTGTACACAGGTGATACACTTACATACATGGAAGCAAAACACTCATACATATAAAATAAAATTTTAAATTAATTTCTTTTTCTGTTTACCTTTGCACCCGCTCTTCCCTATGCCTGGTCTGGCTTTCTATAGCATCTCCTCAACATTGTAGTTCTTGGTTATCTCACAGGGATCTTTCTGACCTTCAAATCTAAAAGATTTATCCTCTTACTGTTTGGTTGCCTTGGTTGGTCTTGTTTTGTGGTTTCATTTTGTTTTGTTTGCCACAGTCTAGTCCATCCTGTAGTCCAGGCTAGCCTCTTCCCATCTTAGCCTCCTGAGTGTTGAGATTACATGTTTCCGCTACCTGAAATTCTACTGTTTTTCCCCATCAAAATGTGGACTTTAAAAGCTGAGCACAGTGGCTTACACCTGTAATCCAAACACTTAGGAGGCTGATACAGGAGGATTGTCAAAAGTTTGAGACCAACCTGACCTACATAGTGAGCTCTAGACTTGTCTTGGCTACAGAGTGAGACCCTGGCTCAAAAAACAAAAACAAGAGGGCTGAAGAGATGACTCAGTGGGTTAAGAGCACTGGCTGCTCTTGCAGAGGACCTGGGTTCAATTCCCAGCACCCACATGGTAGCTAACAATCGTCCATAACTCCAGTTCCAGGGGATCCAACGCCCTCTTCTGACCTTTGTGGGCATTGCATGACACAGGTGCAATTACATACATGCAGGCAATACACTTATATACATAAAATAAAAATAATTAGCCAGGCATGGTGGTGCATGCGTTTAATCTCTGCACTCAACGGCAGAGACCGGTGAATCTGTGAGTTCAAGGCCAGCCTGGTCTATATAGTGAGTTCCAGGTCAGCTGGGGCTATATACAGCGAGATTCTGCCTCAAAAAGACCTAATAATAATAATAATAATAATAATAATAATAATAATAATAAATAAAATATATTTTTTAAAGTGGACTTCAGGGCTGGGGTATGGCTTAGTGGTAAAGTACTTGCCTTGCATGTTCAAGGACCTAGGTTTTATCCTTAGTACTGCCAAAAGGTGGGGCAGGGATCATAAAAACATTAACCAAAAAACATGTGGACTTCATAAAAGCAGGGATGCTGCATTAGCACATGGTGCTGAGGCGGCACCTGGAACAAAGTAGACATGATGTTGAGTGACTGAATGGACAGATTAACATCTTCCTGCCATTCTATTCTTGTTCACAGTTGTTCCCCCAGGAGTGTCTGTGCACTCGTACCCAGAAAGCCAACAGATGGCATATGCAGTTCTATGTGCAAGCCACCAGCAGTTTCAAATAGCCCAAAAGGCACACAAGTTCCTGCACATGTGAAAAGTTGTAGGTATGTTGTGTTGTTAATGACAGGTGGGTGGCAGGGGGGTCTCTGGATGCCAGCACTCAGAGGGTGTGTGTCCCAGGGAGCTGTGCAGTATGTGCCATTCCTCTCCCTAGCTGTGCATCTGTCCCCAGGTGTCTTCCTATCTCTCAGCATGTTATGATGTCTTGGCTGGTTCAGTGAGGTGTTTGACACAGAGACGATTTATCCCCACTTCTCTTCCCTCTTGTCTCCACCTGTACCTCTAGATGTATGTCAAGGGGACTCTCTCAGCGCCCTTGCCCCCTCACACTCAGCCCTGCCCCGGTCTTGAACCCCTCCCTTTCTCAGTGGGCCCTGTTGCTGGGCTCTGGGTTGCCATAGTGACGGTTGCCAAGTCCCTGAGGCTGATAGCCAGCGATGGGGCTGTCGGCTCCATCCACGCGGGAGGCTGAGGGGGGCTTCCCATTGTGTAGAGAAGGGGATGTTGCCAAGACAACCAACCCCCACTAAGGCCCAGGAACCAGCCCTTCCAACCCCCTTGAGCCTCCCCACTTCGGGCAGCTCCAGTGTGAGCTTGGAAGGCAGTAGGAAATTCCACAGCCCAGAACCTGGTCTACCAGTTTTTAACTCCCCTCCCGCAGTACCTGCACACAGAGGACCCAGGCCCCTTGCTGAGACAGGTGGAAGGGTCTCTGTGGACAGAGGAGAGGGGACCTCTTGGTCTCCAGGCAGATGAAAGAGAGTGGCGGGGGACCTGAAGTCAGGGAATGGCAGCTAGGGCAGAGGTTGTGACCCTGCTGACTCGCTCTAGTGATGCTCCAGAAGGCTGCTTTTGTGGTTGGAGAATGGGGCTGAGTCTAGGGGGATGGGCACCTGGGCTTTTGGGAAGAGAAGAGCCTGGTTATGGGTATATGAGCAGCCAGGGGCTTGACCGCTGAGTCCCTCAGGTCTTCCTGCTTTCCTCTGATCAGCTCTATCTCTTAGGCTCAGTCTCCAACAGCCAAACTCCCCAAGTCAGAGGTACCTCAGGAAGAGGTGGTAGAGAATAGGCCTTCTCATATGACATTGTCACCTCACCTCTCCCAGGAGCTTTGGTTTAGCAAGACTCTCCCCACAGGTGACCCTATTTGAGTAACCAGAAAGGCCTTCTTGTCAAGGATTTTCCCGATCCTCTACTGGTGGTTGCCTTCTTCAATCTTCCCCTCCCCATGAACTGCCTACCTCACCATTCCAACCAATCTTCTCTTTCCCGGAGCCCCTGGCTCCATGTGACCCACCCTCAGTTTGAAAGCCATTCTGACCAGATTCATGTCCACTCATTTGCCAGCCTTCTCATCAACTTTTAAAGTTTTTTTATTTATTCCTTTTTTTTTTTTTTTGGTTTTTGTTGTTCAAATTTCCCTTTTACAGTAAAACTGCTGAGGCGACGGCTGTACCCCGCCACCTCCCCCATGGCAATATCAACTTCCTGTTCCCTGGAAGGAGCTGGGAACTACGGCGCCAGAGAGATGACTTGACCTCTGGTGGACAAAGCAACCATTTGGGCTGGTGACTGAGGTGGCTAACTTGGTGCCCAAAGGCAGCGTTAATAAAACTGAGCTGGGAGAAAACTGAGGCAACAGCCCATTGTGCACTAGAGAGCAGGAAGAGGTATAGGCTTGTCACTATGGAAATGGTAGCCATTGCTAAGTACCCCTGTCAGTTAGACCAGCCAGTAGGCCACCTTTTGGTCACTATGAAGGGTGCTGTGTTGGGTTTGAAAGGGAGAAGGCATGAACAAGACAGCCATCTGGTTACTGGGAGGAGAACACATGGGTTCTTGGGGTAGTCCTGTTGATCAACAGAGATTATACTGGATACAGTAAGGGGAAGAACAAGACAAATTGGGCCTGCCATAGCAGATGGCAGTCATCTTAGCTGTCCTAAAAAATCACACAGAGCACAAGGGAAGGGAGATCCTGGGAAGTGCCACTGAATACTAGGGAAATTCTCAGTCCACATCTGTCCTCTCACAGTCATAAGTTCCAGCTTCCTCCTGAAACAGGAAGTTCCTCCTGTCCCTTTCTCCACAGGGTAAGAACCATCCACTTCCCACCGGCCCCCAATACCCCCCAGACTAAGCCACTTGGAATTCCAGCCAGACCACTTCCTATTTCAGAAGTGCTACTTCCTGTCCTGGATGAAGGCACTTCCAGTTCCTGCTGCACTGCTTCTGCCACTTCCCAGGCCATTTCTGTCCAGGCCTGGTCACTTCTTGTCTGGAGTGAGTCACTTCCTGTCCCAAGTGGCCCATTCAGCATCAGAACAAGTCCATAATGTCCCCACTGATTCACATCTTGCTATCAGCCACTGGACACAACAGGACACTTCTTCTCATGGAAGCTGTTGTGACCCAACCACCCCAAATAGCTGGAGTAAGTACAGAGAAGCTTGGGTCTGGGCAGAGAAGGCGGCCCTGTGCCCATGTCTGGAGCTGGGGTAGAGTGCCAGAGTCTTCCCCATAAAGGCCCCCATTTTTGTCAGACTAAGGGGAGCAGTTGGTATAAGAAGTTGGAAGGGGCCAAGAACTGAGGGGAGATATACTTTGATGCCCCAACCCAGGAGACGTGAGAGGCACAGGACAAGAAGCCAAGAGGGTAAAAGGGGATGTAAGGAGGAGGATGCTAGGGAAGAGGAACAGAACAGACCTAGAGACAGGAGAGAGAAAGAATAAGAGATAGAGAGAAGAGAAACACAGTGAGAGGCAGAAAGAGGTGCCAACCAAAAGACAGACTGTCCCCACCCCTGCTCTGGGTAGGAGAGGGGAACAAGGACACCTATGTCATGATTAGAGAGGAGGCTGAGCCTGTGCCCCTTCCCCAAGGGACAGAGACAGAGGAGTGCCCACAGCCAAATGGGGGAGGGGAGGGCAGGAGGAAGTACAGTGGAAGTCTTAAGGGATCCTAAAATTGGAGAGCAGGACTACAGCCAGAAGGAACCAAGGGGCTGGTGGGGCAAAGGGAGCCAAGGTGATGGCAGAGGTGTTCCTCACACCATGAATTAAACTGGGGACTCACCCCCAAGGAGGGCTGGATTGAGGAAAACCAGGTGGAAGGAACCCTCATACCTTGTAGTAGATGTTTGGAGGACTCTGGGGGGGCCCATCCTGCACGATGTACACAGGGTGCCCATAGTCACCACTCACCTTCTCATAGTGGGGGCAGAAGGGAGGATCTGTAGCCCCACCACCCCGCAGAGCTATCCCTAGCTCCCCAGGCTCAGCCTCCCGAGGTCCCATCCCACCTCCACCCCCCAGGCCCAGAGACCCTCCCCTCCCAAAGGAGCCTGGACCAGGGTGGCGACTCTCCGAAGGCTTGGCCCGCCGTCTCCGCCAACACATGGCACCCCCAGCCCCTGCCACGCCCAGCAAGAGCAGCGCCAGCCCCCCTGCTGCCCCAGCCACTGCGGGCATGCTGGGAGGGGGCAGGGGGCCTTCAGCACCCCGGGAGGTTGCATTGCTGTTGGGGTCACCTGGCAGGGAAGGGGTGAAGGAGGAAAGAGGGGGAGGGGCTGAAGGAACCACCTGGATATTTGGACACCCAGCCCTGGGGTACCCAATGGGCTTTCCCAGCAGGGCCCAGGCCCCTTAGGTACCCCACTTTTCCTCCCCCCGAAGCCTGGCTCAAAATCCAGGTGTCCAGCCTTCAGCTCCCTGCCATGTAGTCCTCCCCACTTCTCTGACAGCACTGATTGAAGCACTGACTTGGCTAATTAGTTCTAATTGAGTCTTTTCCTCATTTGGCTTCCATTTCCCTCCCACCCTCCCATCCTCTCTTCTCTTTCCTGTATCACCACCCCCAAAACAGGAGAGGGAGGGCGGGAGAGGGTGAAGGCAGGGCAGCTGGGGTCTGAGAACAGAGGAGGCAGGGGCCAGCCCAGTTTCCTACCTGGCATGCTTTCCTTCCCAGGCTCCAGGCTATGGGCTGCCCCTCGGTCTCTCTCCAAGGGCATTTCAGACACAGGTTTTCGGGGTACAGCCCCTCCTCGAGGACCTGAAGATGAGGAAGACCCGAAAGAGAGGTGCTGAGACATCTGCCTCTGACATGCTCTACTGCCTGAACCTCCCTCAGCTCCTAGCAGGTGTCCCCTAGCCCCACTCACTTTGTCCCACTCGCAGAAGCACTTTCATGCCTCTGGTTAGGCACACGCCTCCCTGCAAGCTCTCCAGGCCTTCCCGGGTTCCATCTGATGTGGCTGAAAACAAGAACAGAAGTAGAAGTCAGCACTTGTGTTTAGTCCCTCTACTGTCTTCATGCTATAGGGGAACACACTGAATGCATAGTGGTCTCCCTCTGGATTACAGTGGCCCCTCCCTCCTCACCCTCCATCCCAGGGACAAACACTCCACTTGCCCCAGCCCACTGCCTGGCAGTACCAATTATGTAGTAATCGTGGTGGGATCGGAACTCATGGCCCCAGAGGTTAGGGCTGTATTCCTGGAACTTGATGGTGAAGCGGAGGTCCAGGTCTGGCCGGTCACATGTGAGAAGAAGGTTTGGGGCAGGAGGTGCTTCACAGCGCCGGCCCTGAGCACCCCCAACCAGGTACAGCTTGTAGAACTCATAACTGGGAGAGGAGTGGGGGCCAGGAGGCCGGGCCCGGGGGCAGAGAAGATCTAGCCGGTCCCCAATCTGAGGGTAAAGCACATAGCCACCCTCTGCCTGGAACCTGTAGAAAGAATGAGGTAGACAAGGAAGAGATGTCAGGGGTATGGTGCCAAAGAGCTTTTCCTCTCTCACTCCCAAGCCTCCAGGACAGCAATTCTCAGCTCCCGCCCTGCTGCCTTTGTCTGAGTGGAAAGTGTGTTCTGTAAGTGCAGGCACCAAGGGCTCTGAGAGCTCACATCAGAAGCAGCAGGAAGCCAGGCTCAGAGGTCTCCTGCCCCTTGGTGTGCCCAAATGCACTCTTCAGCCCGCCCTCACCACATGCACACTGCCATCTCCTGCTCCATCACCAGCGCCGTTGCCATGGCAACAGGATGCCAGTTACCAAGGAGCTGGCCTCTCTGGAACCACACAGCCCACCCCTCCCAGGTGATTTCACTATTCCATGGTAGTTAACCATGGGAGTAGAACCTCCCCTCCTCCAGGCCACCACTGAATTTCAGGGACTTCAGGACCAAAGGGGCAAGGTGGGGGAAGAGGTGTGTGGGAAGATCCAGACCAGTGTCCCAAGTTAGTTAGTTAATGAGACAGGAGGTACATATCTGGATTGGCAATGACCCTTCTGAAGCTGATGAGAACCAAGGTGTAAGGGCCAACTGCCCAGATGATTCCTCTGCCTGCACCCCACTCTGGGGTTCAAACTTTCTGAGGAAAGTGCTCTATTGCTCCAGTTGAAGTAGTGGACTTTTCTAGCCACAACTGACAAAACCCACCATCTCCTTGGCCAGTGGGCCACAGCACACATGGGCCCAGCATAGTCACAACTTGCCAACCACTGTAAGCCCTCCCTGTGCATCCATAACTGAGACAGGGTCTAAGGACTGGGTCCCAGGGGACTGCTGCCCAGCATCCTAAATTTGAAAATGATCCACTCTCACCCAACATCTAGAACCCCTTGTCTTTCTCAACCCTATCAGAATAAGCCTAATTTATGTCCTCAAGCCACACCTGCTACTCAAACTGCAGCCAGGAGTTTTTGGCAGGTGGGAGATCTGAGTACAAAACAGATATTGAGATTATCCCCATTGCGATATCAAAAGGAGAGGGGATGCCAGGACAGGGACAGGACAGGGAGACCAGGGAGCAGAAAGAACAAGAATCCTAGCACTCCTTTCATGAGCATAAAACTCAGTCAAATACCTTACCTCCAATCCTCATAACAGCTGTAAGGACTTCAGGTACAAACTCAGAAAGGTTAAGTGACATGCCTCAGGACACACAGCTGTGGGCCAGGATCAAGACCAAAGGAGTACCTGGTGAGCCCTGAAGTCCACTCCCTTCCCATGACCGCTCACAGCCTCCCCAGGGAACTAAAGTTTCTGAAACACAGAACTCTTTGGCTGATGGGAACAGAGATGGCCATGAAGGCAAGGTACCTAGGTGTCCTCCCACAGGCTCTGTCCTACCCTGTGTAGCTTAAGTTTCATCTGACCCCTGGTCTCTTTCCAGGGCAAAGCAAGCATGCCACAGAACAGAGGCCCTGATGGAAGCATCTACAGCAAAGGCAATGGGAGGGGGCAACCATGTCCTCCAGATTCTAGCAGCAGGAGGGAAGGAGAGCTGAGGGGGCTCAAGGCTCACTCCAGAAAGAAGCTCCCAAACCACGAAGACACGAAAATATTCTGGTTAGAAATTGTTCCGACAAGGATTCACCAGCCCTCTGTCTGGGAACAAGAGTTGGGGCACAGGCTGTGAAGAGTCAAGTAGCCCTGAGCAAGCTGTTCCACAGCCCCTAAACTGAGCCCCCTTTCCTCCCATCTCCACACCAAGTGCCTCCTGGGAGCTAGGCATCCCTGCCCTTTGCCTCAGAGCCTCAGCAGCACCTACTCAGCGCCTCTCTCCTGAGAGCTGACATTAACCAGGCTTCCTTCAAGCCCGATGACACAGGTCTCCCACAGATCCAAATAACCACTCCACTACCCTCCCGCTGCCCGTGAACTTTTTATCTTTGCCCCTTTAAGGTCTCCAAACTCCTGACACATGGACACCACCACCCACATCTAGTTCTGTGTGGGACCCAGGAGTCTGGGTCCTGAGATTATTGCTCTGTCTTTTAACCTGTCACCTCCCCTCAGGGTTCCAGCACCCTTCCTCCAGCCTCCTCCCAGCTCAGAGAACACAGGCCCCAAGTCCCCAAAGCCCCATACCCCATACCAACAGAGCAAGGGGTCTCCCCAGCCTCAAGCCACTCACCTCTTATTCGCTGAGTTCCAGTAGACAGGCTCTAGACTGAGCCCAGACACCAGCCCCCCAAAACCCAGCAGCAGCAGGGCCCGCACACCCCCTGGCCCTAAATGGGGGGCCCCCATGACCCCACCAAGGCCTGGGGGGCGGGGCACCAACTCCCCCAAAGTCGCTCACCCCCAGGGGTGGCTAGCAGGCTGTGGAGCCCCAGTCACCCTGGTGACTGGCGAATACCCCCAGCTCCCACGCGGACCGCTTCTTGCTGTGCCTGCACCCCGGATCCAGAGCGCTCAGCCCCACAACAGCCCTTGCGAAGGCCGTCTGCAGGCGCCCTCCGCGCCCCCGGCCCACTCGCCAGCACCTCGGTGTCTGCGCGCCGGCCTACGTGGGGGACACCGGGAGCCGAGGGCCGGGCGGGGGCGGCATGGGGAGCAGGGCAAGGCAGCGAGGAAGGGGACACCGAGCTGGAGCCCCAGCCTCGCTGGGATTGAGGGCAGCGGGCTAAGGGAGGAAACCAGTCCCGAGCCCAGGAGGGGGGAGTTAAAGGAGAGGCGGGGAGGGGGTGAGGATGGCGGAGGGAAAAACCGGAGCTGGAGCTCAGTCGGAGGAGCGGGCGTAGCATCCCGGCCCACGCCCCCCACACCTCCCTCACCTCGCGCACCTCCCGCCCACCACGCCGCGCAGTCTCGCTTCCTGGCCAGGTCTCGCACGCCCCCTTTGTCTTTCCCAGGGTCCGTCTCGGGTTGAGTTTCTGCCAGTCTTCATTCCCGCCCTCCGATTGGTACCATCCTCTTGAATCCAGAAAGGCTCTTGCCCTCTCCAGCCGAAAAACCTACCCCTTCTGCTCCCGCAGCCCCCTCCTCTTCAACCCCAAACAACGCCGCTGCTTCCGAGCGGCCTGAAGACAATGATAACCTTGAAGGGTAGGCGCTTCACAAAGTACCGCCAAGTTGACAGTGTGACTACCTGTGTGAAGTGGGAGGGGAAAGGCAGGTTTGGAGAGGACACCGTGACTTGCCCAAGGTCACACCGGGAGTCTAGGTAAACCCAAAGCACAACCTAGGCTGAACTACCCCCTTTCCTGGGGTCTCTTTTGTCACGGCTTCTCAAGCCCTTTACTGTTTTCTGGGGGTTAGGTGAAAAGAACTGGAGAATAGACTTGGGCCCTTCTCAGGTGACCATGGAGAGAAGTGGGGCTGGGAGAGGAAAGGGGGTACCTACAACCCCAAAGCTGTACTCTGCAGGAAGGGCTGTTTCCAATTATCCCAGGGGAAGGGAGGAGTTGCCTTTTTGGGTGTAAGAACCCTGGCTTTCAGCACCTCCCCGCAGGGGTGACAGTCCTCTCCTTTCGGCTCAAACTTCCAGTTCCCTTCCCTTTGACTGAGGCCCCCACCACGGCCCCTGTTGACAGTATCTATTCAAAGACCCTCTTTCTGGCTGTTTGGCAAGGTGTGTGGGGAGGCAGAGTGCACAAATGGAGACGCAGGGAAAGGAGAGCCAGCTGCTGGATGAGCAAACCCCTTGCCCTTGCACTGCATGGAGAGGGAAGACCTAGGTATGACGTCTGTGTTTTTCCACACTCATTCCTTCTTTTGTGTCGATTCTGCCTACTGGGGCACACTGCACTTGCACCCCTTCCCCACAGCTGAGTAATGGTCTCTCCGCTGCTTGATGATGGTAAACAGTGTGCTGTGATCAGTGTCTAACTTGTCTGTCGCTGTCTGCACAGTCTCAGTCACACCCAACTGTCTGACACTGACCTCCTGTTACTCCTGCTCAGGCCGCCTCACCCTGACCCCTGTTGTAGCCACCTGGGAAGTGTGATTTCAAACAAGGTCCCCCCTCAGTTTACCAAGTTGCCTAGCAACCAGCCAGTCAATGGCATGAGGCCCCACCCCCACCTGCTTGACTTCACACCATGATCTTCCACCTCATTGGCTCCTGTCTGGTCCCGCCTCTCAACCCTTGGTTTGTGGAACACTATGCAAGTCTCTATAGATGCTGGACAAGGGAACCCTCTAATCCTCCTACCCAACTCCAACGTGTCATCTGGCACCCCAAACAGACAGAGACTCTTAAGTGTCATACAGAACCTTTATATGAATTCATCCCCACAGCCCTCTGTCCTTCCTTGTCCCTTCTCATCCTGGTGGCCATCAGGGCTATTGGGGTCCAGCCCCCCGCCACACCACCAGAGCTGAAGCCGACATTCTGGGTGGACGTGGCGCAGAGAAAGCAGAGGAAGGTCCGGCTCCTGCTCCCCTTCATCCCCACTATCCATAGGTTCTGGAAACACACGCTGGCCGGAGGCAGTAGCCAGTAGAGGCAGGCTAGGGTGAAGGCTGGAGGAGAGAGGGCAGTGTCAGTGCCTAAGCCAGAATGCTACCTGGGAAATATTCACCTTCCCATTCCCAGCCCCAAGCTTCTTCAGGGATGTGAACTGACGACCTCACTCCATTGGTACAGTCCTTCTGGGGCAAAAAACTCATCATAGGCTCCAACTTTCCATCACTGCAAGTTCCACTGGTGTCCCACACACAGACAGTACCACTGGTGTTGCCGCTCACTAGGAACTGCCCATTCCTGAGAGAGAAAGGAGACTTGTGGACAAACAAGCACCACTCTTGGGGTAGGAGCCCTTCACACCCAGGGACTAGGACCCTGTAGCTGGGCTCTGATATTACAGAGTACCAGGGCCTTAGACTTGAAGGGGCCACAGCCACGTACGGGTCCAGATCAAAGTAGATGCGTTGATTGGTGATCACTTCCCGACTGAAAGACCACAGCACATGGCCAGGCTGCCGGAGATCCCAGCACAGAAGTTCAGCATCCTGAGGACAAAAACAGGGGCCTGTAATGTCTGTTTCTCCCCTGCCTCTCACCTCAGCTTCCTTGCATCCCTCAAGCTTGGTACTTCTCAACACATTACAAAGGGTATCCCACTCCTCCAGCCCACCCATCTGCTTTGGGCTCTCAGCATGTGACCACTACCTTGCGGGCTCCTGAGAAGAAGATGTTGCCATCAGGGTGAAAGCAAAGGTGGGTGATGCCCCCTTGGTGGCCTCCCAGCAAGGTGAGGGGGGAACCATCATCCCAGGCATACAGGCCCAGGGTGCGGCCATAGGAGCCACAAGCGTAGAGGGGCTGTGATGGACTGAAGGCTATACAGGAAATGATGCCACTCTGGCCCTGCTTTTTTGCTGGAGAGGGAACAAAAAGCAACAGTACCTGGCAGTAACCAACTAAAGAACTCTGTACCCTGCCCCAGTACCAACATGTTAGGACTCAACACCTCCCCACTCTGTCATAACCAGTCTAAAGATCTCTGACACTTTCCAGATCCTTCAATCCTCCTAAAGAACCTAAATAACCAGGGTTCTCTTCTTCCCTCTATATCCCAGTTTTTCCTGGAAGGGATGGAGAGCTAGACGCCTAAAGGAAATAGACTCAGACTCAGCTTCACATCAATTTTCTATACTTCAGTTTACAGCACTGGCCTAACAAGACCCTGGATTCAATCCGAGGCACTGCAAAAACAGAATAAAATAAAAATAATAGGACAGGCATGAAGGTACATGCCCTTAATTCCAGCACTTGAGAGGTAGAGGCAGGAAGATCTCTGTGAGTTAGAGGACAGCTTGGTCCACAGAGGGAGCTTCAGGCTAGCCAGGGCTACATAATAAGACCCTGTCTCAAAAAACACAAACAAGCCCTTGGGAGAGTTTCTTCCATGCTCGGAGCTTGCTTTCTTCTCTGAAGCTGGCAGGGCTGTACTGAGGACAATGAGAAACCCCACAGGTGGCCCCTCTTCACAGCTACCACTCTCTTCTCCAACCCCTTGGAGGCTTACCAAATGTGGTTCGCACCTCGCACTCACGGCCAGGCCGAGATGTGGAAAAGACACGTACAGTCCGGTTGAAGCCACAGAAAAGCTGGGAACCATCCGGAGAGAAGCAGAGTGAGTGGGCTGCCGTTAGCTCATCCTAGAGGCAAGAGAGGACTGAAAACAGGCCTTGCAAAGTCTCAGGTACCTTCCAGCAAGGAAGGCTAGGCCACAGTGAGTGCTGGGACTGGACAGGGAGGTTTGTACCAGGTGGTTGTAGGCACGAAAGGAAGCCCGGAGCTCTCCAGTGAATGCATCCCAGATATGAATTGGGTTTTCCCGGCTGCTGCTGGCCACACTGAGAGAAACACGGTGGACATTGAAGTCCTGGTGCTGTCAAAGCAAGGGAAGAAAGCCAACTGACCAGTCCTCTCACTTCCTCCAGAAAGGCACAGTGAGCATCATCTTTCTCTCTCCCACTATTCCTGACAACCTGAGTACATGCCCTCCTTGAAACAGGATTTGCAGGCTGGAAAATGATGAAGGCAAAGGGATAGCAAAGAATGTCATTTATCACTTACTAGGAAGTTTCCGGCTGGGTGGAGGACATCAGAGAATACCAGCAGTAATCATAGATGGTGTCCCCTTCCATCATTCGAAGGACAGGAGCCTGGACAGAGATGTGGGAATGCTGGGGTCACTGGTAGGGGAAAGGAGTCAGAGGTTTGTGCACCTAGGGGTTTATGATAATGAGAAAGTAACCAGGTAGAAGACAGATGAGGTATAAAGAACAGAATCTTTAATGTTCAAGCATTAACTCAGCCTCAAATGTCCAAATGCAGCAGAGATTCATACTCAATACCCCAATCTAGAGAACCAACCAATAATACAAATACTCTTCAGTGCCATTTTACCCTTTAAGAACATTATCAGGCCTGAAAGATGGAGCTCAGTGGCCTCCAGGATGCAAAAATAAAGAAATAAATGAGCAAACAGTTTAAATATACCAATACTTTTTTGGGATCTTTTTGAAACAGGGTCTCCCTGTAGCCCCAAATGGCCTAGAACTTGATTATGTACACCAGGCTGGCCTTGAATTCATAGAGATCCTCCTGCCTCTGCCTCCTGAGGGCTGGGATTACAGGTGTGCACCACCACACCAGGCCTAAATATACAAGTGCTTTTTAAAAAAATCATATAGGGGCTGTAGAGATGGCTGAGTGGTTAAAAGTACTTGCTGCTCTTGGGGCTGGAGAGACTGCTCAGCAGTTAAGAACACTGACTTTTCTTGCAGAAGACCTGGGTTTGAATCCCAGCACCCACATGGCAGTTAACAACTGTCCATAACTCCAGTTCCAGTTCCAGGGGATCCGACAGCCTCTTCTGTCTTCCTCAAGCATTGCACGACACGGGAGCACTTACCTACATGCAGGCAATACAGCCATACACATAAAATAAAAATAATAAAAAATAAAAAGTACTTGCTGCTCTTGCAGAGGACCCGGGTTCAGTTCCCAGCATCCACATGGCAGCTAACAACCATCCAGTTCCAGGGGATCCAGCACCCTCTTCTGGTTCCATGGTTACTGCATACATGTGGTATACTTATATATATGTAGGCAAAACACTCATACATAAGTTAAATGTACAAAATATTCTATATATCTGTACAAAAGTACAAAGTTCTGCACACATGTGGAGGTCAGAAGGCAACCTACAGGAGTCAGTTCTCTCCTTCCACCATGTGGATCCTGGGAATCAAACTCAGATTTTTTTTTTTAATTTTATTTTTTATTTTAATTTTATGTGTATGTGTGTGTAGGTAAGTGCACCTGTGTCATGCAATGCCTGCGGAAGACAGCGCAATGCTCAACGAGGTCAGAAGAGGCTATTGGATCCCCTGGGACTGGAGTTACAGACAGTTGTTAGCTGCCATGTGGGTGTTGGAATTTGAACCCGGTTCTTCTGCAAGAACAACCAGTGTTCTTAAACACTGAGCCATCTCTCCAGACTCCCCGCCTCCCTTTCGTTTTTTGGTTTTTTTTTGGTCCTTTTGAGACAGGATCCCCTGTAGCTCCAGCTGCCCTGGAACTCACTATGTAGACCAGGCTGGCCTTGAACTTACAGAGATCTGCCTGCCTCTGCCTCTGGGATTAAAGGCACCACCATGTCCAGTGCAAACCCAGACTTTAGGTTAAGATGAGCCTGAACTTCTGATCCTCCTGCCTCATCTCCAGAGTGCTGGGATAACAAGTGTGTACTACCACACCCAGTTTATGCCAGGGTAGGGAAGGAACACAGAGCTTTATGCATGTGAAAGCAAGTACTCTACCAACTGAGCTACGTCCCCAGCCAAACATGCAAACTCTTTTATTTTATTTTATTTTATTTTTTTGGTCTTTTTGAGACAGGGTCTCCCTGTAGCCCCAACTGGCCTGGAACTCACTATGTAGACCAGGCTGGTCTCGAACTCACAGAGATCCGCCTGCCTCTGCCTCCCAAATGCTAGGATTAAAGGCATGCACCACCACACCTGGCACATGCAAAACGTTTCAAAAACCAAAATAAGGGTTGGGGATATAGCTCAGTGGTAGAGCACATGCCTGGCATACATGAGACTCCTTACCACCATAAACAAGCAAACATCTGTGACCTTTCTATCCAGTTTTAAAGAAAGTCAAAATCACCTTCCCAGCTGGGTATGGTGACTCATGTCTGTAATCTCAGCATTTGAGACTTAAACAGGAGAAACTGCTGTGAATTCCAGGCCAGGGTTGGCAAGATGACTCAGCAGGTAGACACTGCCAAGCCTGAAACACCTCAGTTTAATACCCAGGACCTACAAAGTGGAGAGAACCAACTCCTTCAAGTTGCCCTCTAACCATGTTCATATGCATGCCCTGGCATTCATGTGTATACATACACACAAATACACAAGTGTAATTTTATCTTATTTTATTTATTTTCATTTTATGTATTTTGAGTATTTTGCCTGCATGCATTTAGTGTACCCATGTCATGTGATGCCCATGAAGGCCAGAAGAGGGCATCAGATCTCCTGGAGCTGGAGTTACAGACAGTCATCATGTGGGTGCTGGGAACTAAACCCAGATCCTCTGCCAAAAGCAGCCAGTGTTTTTAACTGCTAAGTCATCTCTCCAGCCCCAAATAAGTGCAAATTTTTGTCTGTTTTGAGACAGGGTCCCCCTGTAGCCCCAGCTACAGGCCTGAAACTCAATGTAGACAAGGCTGGTCTTGAACTCACAGAAAGCTCTCTGCCTCTGCCTCCCAAATGCTGGGGCTAAAATTGTACACCACCATGCCCAGCATAATTTTTTTTTTTTTTTTTAATGAGGAAAAAAAGAAAAGAAACACAAGAGCTAGAGAGATGGCTCAGTGGTTAAGAGCACTGGCTGCTCTTGCAGAGGACCCAGGTTCAGTTCCCAGCACTCACATGGTGGCTAACAACCATATGTAACTCCAGTTTCAGGGGATTCGATGTTCTCGTCTGACCTCCATGAGCACTGTACAACACAAGTTCACGTACGTGCAGGCAATACACTCATACACATAAAATAAAATAACAATAAAATATTAAGAAAAAAAAAAAAGAAGCACAAAAAGCAAACCCTTTCCTGATATAAATGATAGCTCAGTGGTAGAGGGCCTGCCTAGCATGCACAAGATGTTGAGTTCAATCCCTAGGACTAAAAAGAAACAAACAAACAAAAAAAACAACAAAAACCTTTTACAACAGAAATCTCTCATAACACTACCTTAAGTTTACCAACCTCATCATTTCTTTAGGAATACATTTACAGGAAAAAAACAAAGCCAGTACCTTCTAAATTCCAACTTTAATGTTAATAGTATGTTGTATTCAACCCTGTGATTGCTGTATGATATGTATGACCATATCTTGTATAAAACACATCTGGCTAATTTATACATCTGCACTGCTACATAGTACTCCAATCTGGAAGGTACCCAGACTGATACATCTTTCCTGACACTCATTGTCAATTTTTTTGGCTTTAACTGAACATTCTAGAATATATTGTTACTCTACAATTTGTAAAGGATAAAATTACTGGTCAGTATGGTATGGGAGATAACATCAGTTTCCTTTCCAAGCGCTCCCCTTGATGTACTCTCACACCAGCAGCATCTGACACCTGGTGTTCTTTATCTTCTTGGCTTTTCCTTACTTTTCATTTTGTTGTTTTGTAGTGCCAGGGATCAAAGCCAGGGCTTATACTGTACCACTGACTTAACTCCAGCATACTGCCAAGCTTAAATTATGTTCAGTTTTTTATTGTTGCTTAATTTATCATTGCTGATGTATGGGTGTGGATGGAGGCATGCCACAGCATGGAGGTCATACAACAACTCTGTGTAGTCAGTTCTCTTCTTCCACCTTTACATAGGTTGCAGCAGGCTTGCATAGCAAAAACTTTTCCAGCTGAGCCTTCTTGCCAGCCACTTTTTTGGGTTTTTTTGACATAGTTTCTCACTCCATAGACAAGACTGACAAACCTGCCTCAGCCTCCAACGTTCTGGGATTATAAGTAGGTATCAACATATCTCATTGAATTTCTGTTTACTGGTGGTAAACTGGTGTTTTGTTATGGCATAAATTTTCATTTCCTGGGGAGGAAAAGAGGGTTCAGCAGTTAAGAGCACTGGTTGCTCTTCCAGAGGACCTGGGTTTGATTCCCAACACCCACATGGTGGCTAACAATCATCCATAACTCCAGTTCCAGGGCATCTAATGCTCTCTTCTGGTCTCTTCCGGCTTTGCATGACACAGGTACACTTACATACATGCAGGCAAAACACCCATACACATAAAATTAAAAAAACAAATTTTAAAAAATCCTTTAAAATTTGCATTTCTAGCCGGGCATGCTAGTGCACGCCTTTAATCCCAGCACTCAGGAGGCAGAGGCAGGCAGGTCCTTCTAAGTTCAAGGCCAGCCTGGTCTACACGGTGAGTTGAGGTCAGCTGGGACTGCAGGGAGACCCTGTCTCAAAAAGACAAAAAAAAAAAATTGTGTTTCTATCACATCATTGCTGTGAAGTGAGAGTGAGATAGTTTTCTGTCTTTTTTCTGTTTTGTTTTGCTTAGTACAGGGTCTCCGTTAGTACAGGCTAGCCTCAAATTTATTATTAACTCAAGGCTAGCCTCCTCTTATCTCTATTTCCCAAGTCCACACCTTTAATCCCAGCCCTTAGGAGGCAGAGGCAGTGGATCTCTGTGAGACTGAGGCCAGCCTGGTCCACAAGGTGAGTTCCAGGCAAACTGGGACTAGGGAGACCCTGTCAAAAAAAAAAAAAAACTAGTGCTGGGATTACAAATGCCACCACATCGGACTTAATTTTCTCTATACTGCTTAGCCATTTAGGTATCTTTTTGTAATTTTTGCCTATTTTCGTACTAGGTTAGTCTCTTTTGCCCTCTCTCCTTCATTCCTGTCCTAATATCCCAGTACAAATCACTGCTTTCTTATCAGCATTTCTGCAACACTGAGCATTTTCTGGGCTTCCCTGCACCCCGACTCTTCAACCTGCCCATCCATTCTCCATGTTGGGCTCCTGCCACCTTAATAAGCTGCAATTCTGCATAGTGTCACTCTCCTGGCGAAAATATTTTTGTGATTCCATGTAGCC